GTACAGTCTCCAGCACCTATCACCTGGTAAGATGAAAGAGCATGAGAAAGCACAACAGGCTCCACAACACACCCCGCTGCGCGTCCCTGAACCTTCCCGTGCCACATTGGGCATTTGGTCCCGCTACGTTACGTAACTACTTGTCTACCGTATACGTCTATACTCGCAGCGTCCTGCGTACTGAACTCCAGAATCCAACAGTGTTGGCTTCGGTATGGATCGTTTCTTTCGTTTTTGCTAGAGTAGCTTGGAGGGCGCCGAGAGATTGACGAGTCTGGCGGCCGTCTTCTAACAGTCTCGTCCATTCTTCATGCGGTCGGCGTAAAGCGTCCACATCGTCTGCCCAGGCCACCCAGCCTCCTCCTTTGACACACTCTCTATCCACATCGCTCTTTGTGTTGGTGGCAGTATGTGAGGCAGGGTCGTCGGAAGCATAGACTTTGGAGTTGATGTCAGAGATCAAGGAGGTGATGTCGTTGTGGAGTTGGGTTTTACGGGTGCTGGGTTTGTGGGGCTGGGCGGCTCGACGGCCGGCGATGATCCTGGATTTTTTGGACGGCATTATGAAGCTTCTCTGATATAGGGATTGAGGGTCCTTAAAGGGGGCTGTGAAATGGAATTGATCAGCCACTGCAGAGGTTGAGCACACTCCATCTTGCGAGCTGCAGACGTTGATAAATATGATATACACTGGCTTCTCCGCATGAGCTATGCAAGGAGCGTGAGCGTAGATATGAAGGAAAGGATGGGCATATGAAACAAGACAGATTCGGATAAAGCGCATGAAGTATATCATCCATTGATCTGGCAGACTTCTTTGAAAGCAGCAAGCGTAATCGAGCGGGGTCTTCTTGGAAAGGAGAGACTGTTCGATTGATGGTAGAATTGAAAGGAGAGAAGCGAAAGAGATCTGGGAATGAAATACTGTGTATTCTTGTGGTAAGGTTGGATACTCAGACTGGCCATTTTCTGACGTGGATTGATAACAAAGGTTGTAAAGGGAACCAAACAACTGGCAGATGAGAAAGAACGCACGTGGAATTGGTCCCGTTTTTGACGCGACTGGATGTCAACAACGGGCGACGCGATCCTCCGACAAACTTGAATATACAACAATTCTGGCCATATCCTCCTATTTGTTCGACAATTGTCTGCTCCGCCCAACGCTCTGATAAGCATCTTGTCCCCAACGCGATATATTCGGCGACATGAGGATCGAGGAGCTTATCCTGGACGGTGAGTGACTTGCCCGGCGCTTGCGCAAGTGCTGACTTGTGTGTAGGCTTCAAGTCGTATCCAGTTCGAACGACCATCTCTGGTAGGTCATTCATACCTGCGGCAAATCAGGCGCTGATCTATATCAGGTTTTGACGAATCTTTTAATGCCATCACCGGTCTCAATGGGTCGGGCAAGTCAAACGTTCTGGATGCGATCTGTTTTGTTCTCGGTATCACCAACATGCAATCAGTGAGAGCGAATAACCTGATGGACCTGATCTACAAACGGTGAGCTTGTATGCTGTGTGAGAAAGGGTGTGAGTTAAGACATGACGTAGAGGACAAGCGGGTGTCACCAAAGCGTCTGTGACTATCGTATTCAACAATCAAGATCGATCCAAATCGCCCCTCGGGTTTGAGAACACTCCTCAAATAACGGTCACCCGACAGGTACGTCCTTGGTATCTAGTGTCGCAGGCTCAAACTGACCTATACCCAGATCGCTGTCGGCAACATATCTAAGTACCTCCTAAACGGCCACAAATCCACCCTCCAAGCCCTCCAAAACATGTTCCAATCCGTTCAGCTCAACATCAACAATCCCAATTTCCTCATCATGCAGGGTAAAATCACAAAAGTGCTCAACATGAAGCCTGCAGAGATTCTGGGGATGGTGGAGGAGGCGGCAGGGACGAGGATGTTCGAAGAGAGGAAGGATAAGGCGACGAAGACTATGACGAAGAAGGATAAGAAGGTGGAGGAGATTGAGAGTGTGAGTATATCTGTGAGAAGGGAGGGTATGCGCTGACTCGGTGGATAGCTGCTCAAAGAAGAGATTGACCCGAAATTGGAAAAGCTGCGTGCCGAAAAGAGATCTTATCTCGAATACCAAAAGGCGACATCAGAGCTCGAGCGCCTGACCCGACTTGTCAAGGCATACGAATGGGTCTTGGCTGTTGAGAAGGCTGAGAAAGCGGCAGACGGTCTCCAGAAAAAGAAGAAGGATATTGAGAATGCGAAGGAAGATGTCACGCGAGGTGGGAAAGAGTGTCAGGGTATGGAGAAGGAACTCGCAGAGATTCACAAGAAACGGGAGAAGGTGGGTTGATTCACTTGTTGGCGGAGACGTTGACTGACTACTGTGCAGGAAATGGCCAAGGGTGGCAAGATTCAAGGGCTTGCCGACGCTGTCAACAACCTCGAGCGCGAGCTGGTCAAGATCAAGACGCAGATTGAAATCACCGAGGGCACCATGAAGGACGACGAGAAGCGTGTAGTGTCTGCGAAGAAGAACGTCGACGACGTAAGTCATCTGTATAAGCACTTCTGGGTGGTGCTGACACGGGTATAGCTCTCAAAGAATCTCGAAGAACGCCGAGCCGAGACAGCGAAAGAAACTGCCGCGTTCACCCAACTCAAAGACGCCTACGACGCCGGCCAGTCCGAGCTCAACAGTCAAGAAGAGCTGCTCCAGTCTCTTATCACTGGTCTGTCGTCTTCCAAAACCGACGACGAGAATGCCGGTGGTTATCTCGGTCAGCTCGCCGAGGCCAAAGCGCGTCTTGCTACCGCCGGAACTGAAGCCGAGCAGGCCAAGGTCAAGATCAGCATGGCGGAGAAAGAGCTGAAGGACAAGGAGCCCCGGGCGAAGAAGGCGGAGAAGGATGGATCGGGGCTGATCAAGGAGCTGGAGACCAAAAGGGTGCAGGTGGAGAAGTTGAAGGAGATGGTTGGGAAAGCGGGTTGGAATGAGGATCAGGAGAGGGAGATGCTGGAGTCACAAGCCGAGCACCAGTCTCAAATGGCCGACCTCATGGAGGTACGTTGATCAGTATGCGCTCTTGTCTATACTAACGCTTGGACAGAAACGAGACATGCTCAAATCCCGACTTGCCGCTATCGACTTTACCTACTCTGATCCCGAGCCAAACTTTGACCGGGGAAAGGTCAAGGGTCTTGTTGCCAACCTTGTCGACCTTGACGAGGACAACTTCAAGAACTCTACGGCTCTTGAGATCTGTGCCGGTGGTAAGCTCTTCAATGTCGTCGTGCACGACGAGAAGGTGGGCTCGAAGTTGCTCAAGAATGGTAATCTGAAGAAGCGAGTCACCATCATCCCTCTCAACAAGATTGACTCCACCAGGATCGCTGCCGAGGTTGGTTCCAGATATCTTCTTCTGGCTATATGCTGATGACTTTTCAGAAACTGGCTGCTGCCCACAAAGTCGCCCCGGGCAAAGTCAACCTCGCCCTCGACCTCGTCGGCTACCCGAAAGACGTCTCATCCGCCATGGCCTACGTCTTCGGTCGTACATTCATCTGCGCCGACAAGCGCACGGCCGAAGCCATCACTTTCGACAAATCCATCGGCGTCAAGAGTGTCACCACCGAAGGCGACGTTTACGACCCTTCTGGTACGTTATCTGGTGGATCAGCGCCGAGCAGTGGAGGTATCTTGGTCAAGGTGCAAGAGCTCAAGGCTATCGAGAAGGAGATTGGGGTCCATCGACGGGCGATTGATGAGATCAGGGGAACGCTGCAAGGTGCAAAGAAGGTGATTGACCAATGGAGGAAGGACAAGAAGGATTTGGAGTTGAGGGAGCACGAAGTGAGACTTTTGGAAGAGCAAGTCAGTGGAAGTAACGCTACGAAGGTAAGCCACTGCCATCTCGGAGCATGGGAACCGACTAACTTGGTATCAGATCATCGCCGAAGTCGAAGCAGCTCGTAAATCACTTGTCGACTTTAAGGAGATCATCAACCAGGCCAAAGAGAAGCAAAAACAAGCTTCCGCGGACTGCAAACGTCTTGAGAAGGAGATGGTTGATTTCAGAGACAACAAGGACTCAAAGCTGAAGGAGATCAAGACGAGGATTGCAGAGATGAAGAAGGAGTTGAGCAAAAAGACAACGCAGGTCAAGTTGGGGCAGAAGGAGGTGCAGACGGCCGAGCTGGAGTTTCGTAAGTGGACCTTTGCGTGATCATGATACAAGCTTACGGGATATAGAACAATTGGAGAGCGATATCGCGAGTGCAAAGGCGGAGATTGAGGAAGCCCAGTCTGCCAAGGAAAAGTCAAAGGCCGAGTACAAGGCTCTCGAAGCCAGTTTGAAGGAATCACAGGTAAGATCATGTCGATGAAGTCGACGTGCACCGCTCACCAGTTTGCAGGCCGATCACAAAGCAGCTGAAGCCAAATTGAAATCAGAACGCGCCGTCCTTGTCGCTTTCGACACCGACCTCGCCGACCTGGAGCGTGATCTCAAAGCCAAAAAGCAAGAGATTGTTGATGCCGAGCTGGAGTTGAAGAAACTTGAGCACGATCTGGGCTTGGTGGTGAAGGAGAAGTCAAGTGCCGAGGGACATAAGGATAACCTCGAGAGGCAATTCACATGGATCACCGAGGAGAACCAGTACGTCCATTATGAGCTAGTGGAGACGAAGCTGACGGTGATGAAGGTTCTTTGGCAAGGCTGGGACACCATACGACTTCCAGGGGGTCAATCTGGCCCAGGCGAGAGAGCAGTGCAAGGAGCTGGAGTCGCAGCACAAGGGTATGGGCAAGAAGATCAATACGAAGGTCATGAACATGATCGACAGGTGCGTCTTACTCGGCCGATGATGGCAATGGCTAACTTTTTCGCAGTGTCGAGAAGAAGGAACAGGCTTTGAAGAAGATGATGGCGACCGTCTTGAAGGACAAGGGGATGATCCAAGATACCATCGAGGAGCTTGACCGATACAAGCGTGACGCCCTCACCAAGACATGGGAAAAGGTCAATGGGTATGTTGTATCTACTTTACGACAAAGAATAGGACTGATTGGAACCAGTGATTTTGGTCTGATCTTTGCGGAGCTCCTCCCTGGAAATTTTGCCAAACTTCAGCCACCAGAGGGACAAGACCTTACGCAAGGTCTCGAGGTCAAGGTCCGGCTGGGGCCTGTGTGGAAAGCGAGTCTGACGGAACTGAGTGGTGGTCAAAGGTACGTCTTTGCGTGGCGTCCGATCTACCCGGGTGCTGACTATCTTCACAGATCTCTTATCGCCCTCTCACTCATCATGTCTCTGCTTCAATTCAAGCCCGCGCCCATGTACATTCTCGACGAGATTGACGCCGCTCTGGATTTACAACACACGCAACATATTGGTCAACTTTTCAGAAACCGTTTCAAGGGCTCGCAATTCATTGTGGTGTCGCTGAAAGAAGGATTGTTTACAAATGCCAATGTGTTGTTTAGAGCGAGGTTCAGGGATGGTACGAGTATCGTTGAGGTGAGCAAGAACCAATCTTATACGCGGCAAGTTGCTGACTCTCCTACTAGCGGACAGAGAGGCGTACAGGAGGTGCCGGGCATGCCTAAGATGTTGGAGACGTGGACAGGGAAAGGGTCGATGTTTTCGGTTTCTTCTTTTGGGTGTAGACATGTTGTACGTTATTGCATTATGGTCATGATACAACAGACCCCTCGGTCGCTTTTACAACAAACGATCACTTCTTGCCCCTCTTCTTGGGTTTCGTTTCTTTACCAGGCTGCACTATCAAATCCCCACCCTCTCCTCCCTCCCCACCCAGCTCTTGCATCTTCAACCCCGCCTCCAAGCTGAACATCAAATCCCTCACCGTCTCTTCCAACCCCTTCACCTCGTCCTCCTTATCCGCCCCCTTCTTGACCGCCTCATCCCTCTCCTTCTCCAACACTTTAATACGCTCCGACAACCCAAGGCTCATGGCCTTTTCAGCCCCCAGCGCCGTCTGCAGTCCCCCCACAAGACCTCTCACACTATCCACCTTCCCCTTCCACCTTTCCGCTTCTTTCCTCTCCTTCTCCTTCTCCCTCTCTAGCTTTTGCATCCTCTCATCCCAAGCATCGCTTTTTTGTTCTAGAGCAGTCAAACGCGAGAGGAGAGTCGACTGCTGCCCTTCGTAGTGCTGGCGCATACTTTCGAGCTGGGAGGAGAGGAGGTAAGAGTATTCGAGGGTGATGGATTCGATAGAAGAGATTTTGTCTATATCGTTGCTTGACGGCCCTGCATGGGAGGAGAGAGCGTCTTGAGCGGGGGACGATTGGGATTGGGATTGTGGGGTCGTAGACTGATGATGGTCCGGGCCTAGAGAAAGGGGCCGGGAGACGGAAGGGGTGATGAGGGATGAGGCCGAGGGTAGTTCGACGAGTTTACCGTCATTCTTGGTTTGTATCAATCGATGAACATAACTTGTAGACTAGTCAGTACACGATTATATGGTCCTGGAGTGCACCTACTTGTCACCTTTGTAATCCCAAACCCTCTGCGTCTCCAACTCCATAGCCAACACATGCCCACTCTCTTCCCAATGCCGTCTCGCATGTCCCTTCCCCGGTTCATACCGCCCACACCCCACCGTGCCGCAGACGACACATATCCAATTGTTATCCGTCGACCCGCAGAGGTTGCATTTGGTCAGCCTTGTGATATCTCTTTCGCGGTCTGGGTGGGCTGGGTGGGCTGGGGTGGCGGAGGAGGAAGAGAGGAGGAGGTGGGAGACTCGGCAGACGGGACAGCGCGAGTCGCCCCATTTTCGGAGACAGTCGCAATCAAACGTGTGCGCACAGGGAAGAGTTACAAGACCCGTTACGTTCGAATCCAGCCTCTCCAAACACACGGGACAAGATGGTAGCTCAAACCGGCCTTCGGCTGGAACACCCTGCAGCAGCTCGGGGAGCTCTTTCATCCTCGAAGCGTAAACGGAAGGTGGAAACGCCGGGATAGGAGTAGAGGCGGCTGTGGGGGGATCGAGTTTGTGGAGGACGAGATGGTGTATACGGATAGGGTGGCATGTCTCGCGAGAGTCGAGGGTGGAGAAGGCTCGGCCGGTGAAGATGACCATAAAGTCGCGCGCTTGGAGGGGGTCGCGGAATTTGAGGAGGACAATGGACCTGTTCGGGGTGGCTGCTTCCCTGCTCTTTCGTCAGGTAGGGTAGGAAGGAGGTGAAGGAGGGCGTACCTGATCATTCGGACACCTTCGAGGCAGTTGCCCCATCCTCCGATAAACTCCAAAAAGTCGGCGGGCCGCATCCATGCTGGTACTGCCAGGATCGCCACCAAGCTCCCATCCCCTCCTTCAGCACTCTCCCCGTCCCAGTTCTCTTTACTACAGGCCGAGTCTTTTGAGGACCCCTTTCCTGAGAACGAGTTTGATTTTGAAGAAGAGCCGAATGGATGAGCGTCTATAGACGCGAGGAGGCTGGAGGGCGGAGCATGTCGGAATAGGTGGACCACGCCAGTACCGAGGGACGATATCCCTTCTGCGTAGGAAGCTGAGAGTGGAGAGGGTGAAGGAAAATGGGCAAGGAGGGGCTGGAGAGACAGCGCGTCGGTCTCTGATGACTGAGATGGATGGGCCTGATGTGGCGAAGAACGTGATTTCTTGGCCCCTGTAGTCTTCGTCGACGAACCCGGTACGGCCCTCCCACCCTGGGCTGACCTAGCAGCATCTCCCACCCGACGGTCGTCTTTGGCTGACCCGCGAGACATTTCGCGCTTGTCGATGCTCTTCTCGCGTGTGAAATCTATCCAGTCGACAGAGATGTCGCCGAGTCGCCAGTCGTCTTTGATGGTGTGGTGGTATTGCTCAGAGTCGAGGGGGGAGTGGATGGCGATGATGAGGGAGTAGAGGGGTTGCTGAGCAGCCGCCATGCCCGCCGAAATGCACGATGAAAGGTAAAACAAGAGATTGAAAGAGATGATGAGAATCACAACAACGGCGAACAGCAGCGGCGCGCGCGGTGGAGGCGTTCAAGGACATCGTGGGAATGTTGTGGGAATGTGGGATGGTGCATGCATGCTTTGTGTCCATATACTGTACTACTAGAACATTATAGCTATAGATGCACCTCTATTCCCTCTCTCAAAGCCAGGCAATAAGCCACATGTACGCTGGCGGCGAACTGTCTCATACTCGTCTCTGTTCTTCAGCCGGGTGTTGGCAAACTCCACAGTTCCAAAGTCTTCATAGCCGCATGCAGGTGAGGGGAATCCCACGGGCTAGCTGAGAGTGTAGGTATACCCAAGCTGAAGGAGCACGCATCAGCATTTGCTTGCCATCCGCCAGAACCAAATATCAACTCACATAGACTCAAACTCTCCTATAGCCACTCGTCACCACCAGCGCAGGATCAAGCTCCACAATTCTCATATCCCTCTCCATCTCCGCCCTATAAGACCCAAACCTTCCCCTCACTTCATCGCTGAGCAAAGGCATCACCAGACCCCTGACGCTCTCTGCGTCCGGTACGTGAAACTCGGCGTACTTGATGTCGAATACTGTTCTGTTGCCGGCATTATGTCGAGCAGCGCGGAGGCGGGCTCTACCGGCTAGGTAGCGCGCTATGATCGTAGCGACGTCTGAAGGGATACATGATTGGGAAGCGCCGGAGGAGGAGGATGAGGAGGAGGGGTAGATGATGATTTTGCTAGAATGATACTCCAAGTTCTGAGCAAGCACGATAGGTAGGAGTACACGCAGATCATCGATAGTTGGACCACCTTTCGCAAAGAATGGGATGTAGATGACAGTCATCTTTTGCCGGGCCCAGTGACCTGTAGGAAGGAAATGATCGAAAGCGTACTGCTTGGAATCCGTATCCCCACGAAACGGCTTATCCACAAAGATCGCAAGCTCTTCGAAATGTTTGCCTATTTCGTGGTCTACACTCTGATCGAAGAGGTTTTTGAGCTGATAGTTCTTCTCCCTAGCGGCTTTCTCTGTGAGGGAAGGGATGGTCGCAAAAGGGGAGAGGGAAACGCCGATTTGGCGGACATGCCGAAAGAGACGATCTGGGTGGTATTCACAAGCGAACCCGCTCCCCGCCTTCCGTCTCTTCCTCTGACTATACACCCTCCCAAAATCAACAGCCAACCCCGCCCAAATCCTCACATCATCCACCCTCACAGCCTCCGCATAAAACGCCGGCAGCAGGAAAGCCAGGCTCTGAGCTTGGTCCGCGGTGGTCGTCTTGTAGAAGCGATCTTCAAAAGAGTGGTCGATAAGGACGGGTTGGGAGAAGATTTTGAGGGCGTGGTGGTGGTGGGCTTTGGAGAGGCGCATGTAGGTCGTGGGGGCGAGGTGGAGGAGGTGGTCGATGATGTCGTAGTGGACTGGGGCGAGGGGGGCGAGGGTGGTGATGGAGAATGCGGGGAGGGCAGGCGGCTGGGGTTTCCTGGGCGCCATCGTGGCTGATTTGTGAGATGCAAACGAAAGTGACCAAAAAGTGACACAAAAGTGACAAGAGATCCGAAGAAATCGTGACGACGGAAGCGCAGCGAGGAGATCCGAGTGATCCGACATTGCCGTGTGTTATTTGGTTCCCGTCATCAGTCCGGACATTCACATGTCGGACTCGAGCGGTTCTCTTGCCGCTGTGCCTCATAGACTTTGAAGGCGGGAGACTTCGGGGATGAGGAGCTAGCCGAGGAGTTGATGACAGTGAGGTCCATGCTGGGGTTGGAGCAGGAGGTGTAATGTCATGAGCGGCTCTTATGACCTAGTGGTATGATGTATGCATTCCAAGATGAACATCGTAGAAGAAGCTTGAGCCACTCCCTCAAGCAACATACTTGAGCACCCCCCGATCATCCTCATCCCTCTCTAAAAACTCTCTTTCAATCAGACTCTCTACCCTCTTCTTGATCTCCTTTACATCCGGCGGGAACCTCTTGCTCACTTCGCCTACCACAGCGTCGATAAGCAGCTGGAGGGACAGGCGTTTACGGGCCTTCATGAGCCGGACGAGGGTGGCTTCGAGGATGGATGTGCGGTCGAGGGAGATTTGGTTTTGGGTGGATTTGGATTCTTCCGCCTGCAAACGTCATCAGCCTGACACTTGGGCACCGAGAAAGATGAGGAAGAGGCGTACGCTGATGTCTTGCTGGATACCGTTGATTCTGAACTTGAACTTGTCCCCAGAGAAAAACTTGTTCCACCCAAACACATCGCTATCCTTGACCTCTTTCCCTGGCGGTTTCTTGAGCAACACTCGCGTCCCCTTCTTTCCGAGCGCGAGGGACTGAAGTGTGGGTGTCAATTCGTTCACAGCTGACATCTCGCTTAGCTCTGTACTTTCAACAAAGAGCAAGAAGACTTACGGATCCCACTCCTCTCTCTTATGTCTTTCACGGTCAAATGATCATTATCATTGAACATGATCAACACCACCGCCTGATACAAGCTCACCCCGATCTCATACCTTTTCTCTCCACCCTCCGTCCCCTGTCCAAACCGCGCCGTCATCGTAACACTGCCCAAACCCCAGCGCCACGCGAGCACACGGTTCTTGTACCTGTCCTTATACCAAGCTTCAAATGACGCAATGTCATTCTGCAACACTTGCGGGAGACGGAAGGGCGAGATGACGGGTGTTGTGGTGGTAGTAGTGGAAGTGAAGGAAGAGGAAGAGGAGGAAGCTGGCCAGGCGGATTCGGTGAGGACGTTTGTGGTGAAATTTAGGTTGGACGTTGGGTTGGCGGTTTGGTATGCTTTTACTAATCTGCTTGGGTCGTCAGTAATGCGTGTCGAGATGGAGGAGAGGGGAACGTACGTCTCTGAAACCTGCAGATCCTTCATCATAATATCGCCCGCCGTAAACTCTTCGCCCATCTCCTTTTGCAGCATCCTCACCAGGCCCTTCTCACTCTCATCACTCGCGCTCTTGCTCAGCAGGAGACGTTTGGCAAGGGAGCGTCCGTAGAACGCTTTGAACACGTCTTTATCAAGGAGCAAACCTGAGAGATGGACGATCTCGGATAGGTGAGATTGGAATGAAGGGACGTCGTCGGATGGGACAGTGCTTGAAGAAGGCGGCTTGACCGATCCGCGCCGCATCACCCTGTCGAGATACTTTGCGACATACTCTGCCGGCACCGCTTCCCTCTTCGCCAAACCCGCCTTGAAACCCGTCCTCACACTCTCATAGAGCTCAAAGTGGTGTTCTTTCGCTAATTTGTCGCCGATGCCGGGAGTGAATGTGGGGGACATGAGGACGTCGCCGTCAGAGTCGAGTAGAGGGGCTTTGCCTTTGTCGCCGAGGGTGGCGATGGAGTGAGGGAAGAGCAAGTCGATAAGGTAGTTGATCTGCCGTCGCAGCGCCAAGAGATCCCATACCATCAATTCTCCATCCACCGATTCCTTCTCTTTTTGGCCCTTCGCGGTCGCGCCCCGGAGTACGATCTCGCCCACCTTTTCTTTACAAAAGCTCTCCACAGAGGAGGCGAGAATGGCAAACTTTTTGACACTCGCCGCGTATTGCCACACTTCTGAAAGTGCTTGGTGGTCTGGAGCGAGGGAGAGAGCGTGGTAGACGGCAGAGAGGATGATGCCGCCGTCTTCAACTTCTTCATACGTCACTTTGAGGATGTTGCCACCGATTTCCCGAGCAAAGGCATGGTTGACACACCATTCGGCTCGGGATAATTCTTCATTAAAAGACTGCAGGTGCCAGGAGATATACGCCGCCGCTTCGGGATGGGACACGATACCGGCAATCTTCTGCGTGCAGGTGCTGAGGTGGTATTCGCGAGTGGCGTCGAGCCACTTCTCCGTTTCAACTTCAAACGAGTGAAGGGAGAGTTCACGAGAGAGAGAGAAGTTGTCCTTGATGGTCTGTCTTTTTTGTTGCGGATTGGATGGCGAGGGAGAAGAGGCGCGCTCTAGGGCAAGCCAGTCTAGGAGCTCGGCACAGCGAGCGCTGGAGAGGATGTTGTCTTCCCATACTTGCTGCCTGAATACGCGGGTCACACGCGAGTTCAGCGGCTCGGTGGCCGCAGGGGGGTCAAGGTAGACGAGTAATGAACGCAGCAGGTCCTGATAATGGTCAGCACGAGACGAGAAGGACTGAGCAGACTTACGGTGCGTTGCTTCAAAGAGCGCCACTCTTGTGTGATCTTGGCCAAGATGCCTTTATCCCTCGCCATCACTCCCCTCCGCAGATCCTTGGTGATAGCATGGCATGTCTGCACGAGTTCCTGCTCGAAAGTGCCGAGCACTCTCTCACACAGCTCGGGATGCTTGAGTGCAATGCCCCGGGTGAGGGTGGAGATGTGGTGGTACGACACTGGCGTCGGCTTGAAGCCCAAAATGGCCTTGATAGATTCTGCCAGAGGTTCTATCTCCGCATGGATAGAGGATTGGGGCTGGGAAGGCAGGTGGAGGGAGACGGTGGGGACGGTGGATTGGGCGGCGAGGGCAGGGTTGATAAAGTCGTTGTAGGCATTTTTGCTGGGGGTGTACCGTGAGAATGCGCTGGATCTTGAGGGGAGCTGTAGGAGGGCTGGCATTGAGACGTATAGAGACTAATACGCGCAAATGATAAGAAGATGGAGAGAATGAGCGGGTCCGGACGCGGTGTGGGTGCGCGGCATCGTCCGCTGTCCGGGCTTTTCCTACATCCACGTGGCTCCCTGACCGGACCCGTGGGACCCCATCTACGCGAGCATTTACGGTTATCGCTATGCATCTCATTTCTCTTTTACATCATCACAACGATGGACAAACAGGAGGGCACTATTCGCCACAGGAAGCCCCCCAAGACGCTGGCCGACGGCGCCGAAGATGGCGCTCACGGCGCTCAAGACGCCCCCGACAAGGCCTTCGACCAAGCCACCTGGGGCAAGACGGCCTCTGGCACAGTGTTCAGAGTCCCAGAGACCCACTCCTTCGTCCACACCCTCTTGACTACTACTCACCGCTCGTCTCTTACCCGCCTCAC